TAGGATCACACATTCTCCCTTCTCTTAACGACAGACTACTGTTCTTTTCAATTTTCTCCATTCATTGGAAGTTTCATTTCACACCTCTCTGCACCCATTCTGACTTCTGACTTCACACCTCTTGATTGGCCTCTCTTTCTGTCCCCTGCTCCCGCCTCTCACTCCTCCTCCTTCCCAACTTTTGTTCTCCCAACTTTTATTCTTCCCAACTTTTGTTCTCCCGCTACTTTACCTTTGCCTACTGCCTTGTCTTTCTCACACCTGAAGAAGGCTCCACGGCCGAAACATTGTGTTTTCTCTCTTCTTTTTTTCAGCATGCAAAAGACCTATTACTTGTTCCTTAACACTGTGTCAAGCCAGGAGATGGCATATTTGAAGTTATCCATATCAAGACTCTCTGAATGTTCTGTCTCTGGGGATACAGAATTTCAGTCTTCCTGAAAATAATCCCCAGAAACCCATCTATCCCATGAGCAATATTTTCTCTCACTGAACTGTGCATAATGTCATTCCCTAGTAGATGTTGAGCTGGCTTTAACCTTAAGGGCTGAATGTGAGTTTTGTTTTGGGGGTCAGATTTTAGAGCAATATGCCATTACCAGTTGTAGCAATGGAGAGGTTAGTTAGGAAGGACTGTTAGAATTCTGCCTTCTACGCTGGGGATAAGTGTCAATGTGTCAGTGAATTTTTACAGATGCAAATTATGCCAGATAGGTCAGTAATTTTTGTACATCTTCATGCTTTATATATGATTTATAACATCTTGTTTTTTAGAGGGAAACCTAGCAGTTATTTGGCAGATAGCCTTATCCTTAGCAGCAGTAGCTGTCATTGCATCATGTTTGTACTGCACTCTTCCTGCAAGGTAACGTGATTTATGTCACATTCTAAAAATCACATTAAATTCTAATCTATTAACAGAAATACCACACTGTACTTGTTTTACCGTGATGTCTGTTTTCTAATTTTACAGTAATACGTCTAGTCATCTCTTCTTAAAAGGGGACCTGTAGTTCCAATTTCTCAGATTTTGAATTAAACCCAAATTCATTAACTTTATGAAAGTACTGTAAGTAGCCTTATTGTTGCAAACTCCTGGTCTTGCCACGAGTGAGAGGGAGAGTTCCCAGGAATTGTGACATGAAGGTGCCCTTCCTGTAATGACTAATGTAATGTGATGTGTGAGTGAATAAGTACAGGTTGTGCAGCATATATTTCACTGAAATGTTCCAACGTGATGTATTCACAAGCCTGCTTGTTTGCAATATAATAGGGCCTCACACGTCACCAGACGTTTTGTTGCCTCGTTCTGAATCGCAGAACATGGTGCTGCGCACACCTGGAAATTGTATCTCTTTTGTGATGTAAATTGGATGTTTTACAAGTTACGGTGTAGATTTCACTTTTATTGTGGTTTGAAATGCACTCAATCAATTCTAACCCCATAATACAAAAAAGCGTTGTGGTCCCCCTGTAAGTATTTGCTGATAGGCAACACAGGAACAGAATCAGCACTTCTAAGTCCCTTTCTGACCCCATAGTCAGATTTATCATGCAGCATCCATGTAGGGAAAGTATGAGTTTTGGACTTAGAATTGACATTTGTAATGCCGTTGGAATTGACTGTGTTTTCTGAGGAGCTGCAGCTCTTGTGTGGAAGGCCTCCCACTGATCTCTTCTCTGCTGTATTTCAGGATATGGATAAAATCATGCACCAGTGTTCCAACTCCAGCCCCTTTCTTTCAACCCCTGTACAGCCACTATAAGGGAGATTTTCAGGTAGGAATGCATTTTCTGTGGAATGTTAATTAAAGAGATCTTTTTTTGTGAATTTAATATTTAATAAGTACATTGTGAGGGTGCTTTTGTTGTGTGGCTGATAGAGCTACTTCCTCACACTTCTTGGGTACTGGGTTTGATTCTGGACTCAGGAATCTTCACACTTCTGTGTGAAGTCTGCACGTTCCTCTCCATGTTCATGCAGGTTTGATCCCATTGCACATAGATATGCTGGTAAGGTTTGATTGTGTTTTCAAAAAAATCCCTTTCTCTGAGGCCCTATAATGTTCTGAAGTATTGTCCAGGGCAAGGGAAATCTTGTACTGTCTTTCTTGCACCTTGTGCTTGTACAATAGGCTCCATGTTGCCAGGCTTGGTGTAATAATTGCATGAATGATTTAATAAGAAACAAAAATGGGGTTTTATTAGTTATAATGCAGGGATTATGTAGTTTAAGGATTTTTGTAATGTATCATTGTAGTCTTACCCTCTAAAGATACCAATATCTAATTATACCATCTTTCCTGATTTTGCACCTGGTCAGAAATGGCTCCTGTCTCAAGGCCTTCAGGGTGACCTGATCAAGATGGAGGAGGTCTTGAAAATTGACATGCTTATTGATGCCAAGCCCATAAAGAAAGAAGAAAGCTGCTTCTTGGCTGAACCTTCAGAGACCATTTGTCAGGTCACCTACGTCAACCCACACTGCAAAGATAAGAACACTCTGGTCATGTGGAATGATGACAGCATGCACAACCAAGCTGAAGTATTATCAGATAATACTGGCTCAGGTTCGCCCTTGTTCCTGAAAGCCAGCTTTGATGAAATGTTCAGTTCTCTGTCACTGGATTCCTCTGGAATGATGGAGTGTGATTCTGGCTGTGAGGATCCCACACAGAGTCTGGACAGTAGCTGGCCACACACCACCCTCTCCTTCGAGGTGTCTACTGAGCCCGAGAGCCTGTGTTACAGCGATGACTACTGCACCCTCTCCGACACCCACAATGGCCTGGTCCCCACCAGAGTGGTGAAGCAACCCAGCAAGATCATGGAACCTGATGCAGAAAACCCTCCAGAGATGGAACTGTCCAAAGGCAGTGACCACGACTGCCATCTCCAGGATTCCCCCAGCGAGAGCGATGTGGACAGCTTGTGCCAGCGCAGTCTTTGAGTTCTCCAGCGGTACCATCTCTTTCACCTCTCCCACTCGGAAGGGAACAGAGGGATGCGATATGTTTTACTTCTCCTTTAGCTACATTTTTATGTCTTTTGTTGCATTAGGTTTTTCAAGCCTGAATGTCTTTGACAAAAGAAATCTCCACACTGAGCTACTCTTCCTTTCCTGGGTAACAGATTTTTTGTGAGCTCCTTTGGGTCAAAATTCCTCTGTGCTGTAGAAAGATGAGGTCATGAAAGAGAGGAAATGTGACAGTTGAAACCTATGGCTCTCAGTATACATTACTCTGGCTCTCAGCACAGCTCCATTCCACTTTGGGAGAGGGAACGGAACCATACAGCTTCTGGAAGAGCAGATCTGCAGACCAGATGGAAGTCCACAGTTTTGTTGAGACCGTCTGACTCTTCACAACACTTAACAAATGTTTTTGTTAATGCATGTAAAGAGGAACCTACTCATCTGACAAAGGTCCTCTTGGATGAAATGGAAACGCATCTGAAATCCAAGATGTGTGCCCCATGTTTTGCACTTGAACAATACCTCCTGCTGCAGGGTCCATATTTACTGATGACAAGACGGAAGCTTGTTGTTGGCACATGGTTGCCTGCGTATTCTCTATGAGACAAGAAGGGAAACAACACTTCGCTTATCTCACTGTCACACCATAGACACCAGTAATCTACTGAGGCTACAAAGCAAAAATCACCAAGCATGGACTCCTGTCTTCTAGATTCCGCTGCTTAGAAGTACATGCTGACACAAATCATGTTGAATTTGAAAAAATAATGGACATTATCATCTTAATCTAGTTTGCTTTTACCATATGAGACTAACCTAGTTAATTCCAAAACAGTTTTCTGTGTAACTTTTGCAGGGACTTTATGTCCCTTTGCATTTTGTTTTTTGGTTTATGAACATTCATTTTTTCTTTGACTTTGTTATTCTTGATTTTTCCACTATGTTGTCACCCTGGTAAATGCTAGTTCATTTACTACAGTTTTGTTTTTCTTAAGCAAGGTTTACTCAATTGTAATAAATTTTCTTTGTTAGAATACTTTATAGTAGCTGCACACAAGAACTGCTAAGAAAGTTGCAGTGAATTAATTTATATTGTTTGCGAGTGCTTTTGACACAGCTCCCAGGGAATTCTCAGGATGCATTGCTTTTAAGACCTCTACAGGAAAGCTGCTTTGAACAAGAATTATTTTAACAGAGTTTTGGTAGTTACATGATACTACAAAATATTCATTTCATTCACAGAAATCTGTTTTCCCAGCAGTAATCACACTATTCACTGCTGCTAAATTGAAGTACATCTGTTTTTTCATTGCTCATAAGTTCATATTAAAAATCTACCTTTTCTCACTAGCCGTGTCCTAAAGTCAGGGTTAATATTGGACTTCTGCACTAGGGTGGGTTATGGGTATGTACAGGTATACATATTTTACACTGTTGACTGTTTGCTTCTTTCTTGTGAATATCGACAGAGATCTTTCATCAACAGTGTCTGATATAGTGTGACACACCCAAGGGCAGGAGGTGGGATCTTTTTATAGATGGGACTCTCTAAAACGGACACGGAAGAACTAGTGGTCATCATTTACTGTGCAGGGAAAAGCAAAACGAAACAAAAGCCCGTCTCCTCTTTTGTCCCTCTCTTTTAAGTTACTGGCAGCAAAAAACAAAATCCACAGATCTGTCTTTAAGTCACCTTCTTGCTCCCCTCTCCCTGTGATGCATTGCATTTTGACACACCCTCAAAATTAAATTTTTCATTAATCCAAGTATGAGGTACAGTATGTTGAGATGTAAATTAATTTATGATTTCATGGATATAATTTATGAAATTTGGGATAATGATAATTATGTCTAAATCTGTATAAGTAGTTTTGTCAAATGTAATGGGAACATACAAGATGACATTTCCTGTTCGTTAAGCCCTGGAAAGGATGAGGACTTAATTGAGGAAAATAGTTTGTTCAAATTAGATTCCCCTCTTGTCCTCCTTCGCTGGAGTTTGACCACAGGTGGTTACAGTTTCAGTAAGCAAATGTTTTTAAGCTCTGGTCACAAATGTAGAAGAAAGGTGATGAACAGAAAAGTGGACATACTTTATAGACAGCTCCTGCTTGCATGGTAAATTGTGTTATATTTGTTTTGCAGTTTTCATTCGATTTATTTTGATTAGTTTGCTTTTTATTTTTGCATACTTGAATAGGTACCAAATCTAAAGAAAGTTATTGCTGTTAAAATGTTTATCGTTCTGTATCTTTGGATGTAGGATGAGCAATGCTTACTGTGTTATCATTAAAATGTCAAACGTTATTTAAAGATCCCTCACAAGATTATGTTAATGGTATGTGATTATTTTAGTTTTTCCATCAGTATCAAATGTAGAAACTGTCAATGTAAGCATATATGACTTTGCCACCCTTAATTGGAAATGAATGAACTTTCACTGTTCAAAGGGTGAATGAGTGGGTGACAGTCTCTTCCAGTAATACACTACAGTTGTGGGTGGTTTGCTTTTATTCTTGTTGTCATAAGGGCTTGCAAGCAGTGGGGTTCTAAAAAATATAGGTTCTACTTCCCACATGTTGGAACAGCTATTTCGGTAATATCCCAGCAATATCTGTTTATATTGTGAAAACTCAGAAAATATTTTTTCATATAGAAAACAAACCCTAAAGGCCATTGTCTCTCATGCACTGTTTTCATCATGGAGGACATCTCTGTCTTTATGTTTTCCTTTGCCCTTTTGAACCCTTCTGAAGAAATGCTTCAAAAAACAAGCTGTGCTTCAAATTTTTATTTCCTCAGACGTCATTGTCATTATTGGTGCATTCCCAGTTTGGGGACATGGGCAATACAACAGAGACACTGACCAATTCCAATTCGGTTTCCTATAACTAGAGAGTAACCACTCCAGATGGTGTAATGAGAGCATAATGCACTAGAGCATAACTTGAACAACCATTCCCTGCTGTTTCTGTGCTTGAGAGTAGGATCAGACCCTATTCCCTTTCTGGAACTGACTTTTTGTTGTATGAAGAAGTGTAGTTTTTTTGTAGAATGGTGATACTTTTGAGGAATTGAGAGTTTACAGAGCTATTCCATTTATGGTTTCATCCAAAATGTCACCTCACCCCCATGTATTTTTTCTGATATTTTTTAGTATTTCTTTTCTTTAAAAAGACCTGCTCTTGAATGCTGTTTGTGCTCTCCAAATTGTTTAAGATTATCCTGCCTGTTACCGTTAGTTTGTCTATTTGCTCTTGCTTGGACCTGTAAATAGGTCAGCCCTTTTAAATTTCAATTGCTTTTTTAGAGGGGGAGGGGCTAGACCTATAAAAGGAGGGCTGTAGTGCTTCTGAATGATTCCTGTTGATTACCTGCCTAAGATGAGGCTGTTCTCCATTCTTTAATCTCTGTGATGTGCTTTCGCACAGATTCGTCACCTGAACCGTTTGCCAGCATAGAAGAACTCCTTGCTGCTGGACCCTCATGTGTCTATGGAAATTAAATGTTTTGCTTGATTTCTTTGTCCCAGTTGTTGTGAGAAAGACAAGATTTGTGCATTGAACAGTCCCATAGCCAATTGGCATCATTGCTTGATTCCATAAGAGTTTGGAACGAACAGAAATCTAGAAAGAATGTCCATTTAATTCACCCCCCTCAAAGAATGACAGTGGCACCTACTAAGTTTCCATCTACTACAAGTATGTCATATCTCGTTTGATATTTATAGTGCCTCATAATTACATTTCCATAGCTGTTTTTAAGTGTTTAAGAATAGTGAAGCCCAGATATTTCTTCAGGTCCAGGCTCAAAGGAAAGCTATGCAGAAGCTATCTTGTGGTTTTCCTTAGGTTCTAATTTTTCTCTGTTGAATCAATATTTTCAAAGTCATCCATGTTGAAGAGTTTTTAAAAAAGGATAGTTTCATTTTCAAGGGAGTCTTACAAGGAAATTCATGTGATGTGTGGCAGTATCGTGTTCAGCAAATTCCTGAGCCACAGGCAAGTTCCTGCTTGGGTTTTAGGAAACTGAACTACCGAAATGAAAGTATCATTAAGTTGTGAACGTCCATCATTGAGACAGCTGTGTCATATAAATGGCTGACCCTGCGCTCTGACCCCAAGCTTCTCTCCTTGTCTGTGTGTCTCATGGAGAGCAAGTTTGGGTATATGAAAAGACAAATTCCTATTACAAGAAATTGTACAGTATATGGCCAATAAAGTGATCTTATGAATGATCTGAGGTGCTTTCGTCTGCTTTGGAGCAGCAAATGTTGTTTGAAATTAGATTACCACGATTTTACATTTCAGATATCAACAAATAGCTAAAGGGGAAAAGATCATGGCCTTGATAATCTGTTTAAAGTGCTGTAAACTATCCGGCTGTATCTTGCAAAATGCTAGTGGTTATCTCTTTTCAGCATTTTCTTCTAAGACAGTCCTTCCTCTTGACTCCATTATCAGATAACAAACTTGAAACAGGCAAGTTAAGGAACACAAAAAATTGTGCCTCTCTTTGCTTGCCAATGTGAAAGAATAATGCAAGGTGAGATTTGTGTAACACTTTGCAACTTCAGGCACTTGTCCACAAAAACAAAAGGCATTACAACATTTTGTGGAGTAAAAACACTTAAAAGAGAAACTGTATCGAAGCCATAATGATGAGGTAGCCACACCCTCTGATGCATAGCAAGCCATGACCATTTTTCAGTGCTTCCTTGGGATGGTTTCTGCAAAATTCTCAAAGCAAACCAGTCTACAAATACACAGATAGTTTGGTTGTTTGTGGGATATTGCAGAATTCAAGCACATGTTACTGCTATAAAACAAAAAAAAACAATCTATAGTCAGATGTTCTAGTTAATGCAGCTATAATAAGTACTCAAACTTAACGATTACACAAATCAATTGGCCAGACAAACAATCTGTTAAGAAAAAATAACAGAAAAATATTATTTTATTAGTTAATTCATGGCCACAGATGGAACTGCCTGCTGCAGAGCATACCAGTCATAAACATACATGCGAGGATTATCTATCCATTCTTTACAAGGAGGAAAGCAGAGCTCTCTGCAAAAACCAACAAAGATGTGGAGAGAACATGCAAACTGTGCACAGAAAGACCTTCAAGCCAGAATCAAACTTAGGAACCAAAATCTGAGCAACAGAAGTACTAACATAAACACCACCTCAAAATGTATTCTAAGTATCGCACCTCTAAGTATTGCATTTAAAATTGTTTCTTTAAAGTTACAGTTCTGGGGGAAAAAATGATAGTTCTAATATAATTGCAAAACTTTTAATCATATTTGTTACAGAATGACAAAGTTGTTTGAGATCTTTCTTTCAGGTGAGTGTTTGATGATGTTTGCAGCGTGTTTACAGTACTGAGCCTCAGAATAACTTAGAGATAAAGACAGAGAGCTTTGTTGTGGTTATTTGATTGTTTTTAGTACCTTGTAAAACAATGCGTTGTGTGCACAGGAGTTATTTTCACTTCTGATAATAAAGTTTGTTTGCAACTCATCTCTTCTCCACAGAACACAGCTCTGTCTAAGAAAGCGTTATACTTATGCGGTACTAGGAAACAATCAAATATTGTCTCATAAAATACAATTTGACCTTGAATCATACATGTTCAGGACTCGTTCACAAAAAGTATCCGCTCAGTGATTATTTTTTTAATACTGGACATGAACAAGTTGATTCTTTGCAAGAGTAAAAATGATATTTTTTTAAAATCCTGTTAAAGGATATGTATTGACGCATTTGAAAGTACATTCTTGGTGCTGATAAAGATTATCTGTTTTGATATACTGTGCGGTAGCCGTCTTGGTTGTGTAATCTCTTCTGGATGACCTTTTCTTCGGCTTCCTTTCTTTTCTTGCAGTGCAGGTACTTTCTGATGCCCATTTTGCAAGATTTAACAAGGAAGTCAGCACCACTTGCCCAGCAGAAGAAATGTAATTTGCTTTTATGGTAAAAATGGATGTGAGAGCAATATAGAGAGTCATTTTATGGTGACAGGGCAATGGGGCTGTTTCATGTAAAGCTTTTGCCTTACAATCCCCTTATACAGTAAACTGAATCTGAGGACTTGAGTTTGGACTATGTATCTTTGTTGCCTTGGGCAATCAGTGAACAATGGGTTTCAAAACAGTGTGCGGCATTAGTCTGTTTCCCCACTACCACATACTGTACATATGAACTCATGTCTAGCAAGAATAGAAATGTCAAAAGGGGAAAATATAAACTACATATACAGTATGCTGGGGGCTGAATTCTGGGGTTTGGTTTTTCCAAGAGCTTCAGGGCATTCCCAGAATTTCCATTTTCCTCCACACTTATCTGTGGAGTGACTATCCAGTGGCCCTTGAATTAAAGGTTCAATTGGGATTCATCAAGACTAACCATCACTCCACCCTCACCTTAACCACCTAGAAAGTTCCAGAACCCTTGACAAAATTTGATTGTCCCAGAGCTGCAATGACATTCTCTTGATCTGCACTTCTGACATGTACAAGACGATTAGGGATTGAGCTAGGCATTCTTTTCTCAGTGTTGGCTAAGCTCCGACTTTGATATATAATATATTTCAGAGACTGGAGGCTTATGAAAACCAGTTTGTACAAACACAGCTCTTTCAAGGCAGTGACTGTTAAAATAATGTTTTAGGCAAGTCTTATTAGAACATAAGAACAGTTTCAAACCACAGAAGGCCATTTGGACCGTGTGGTAGTTGGTACAGTAACTGATTGATCCCAGAATCTCATCCAGCCATTTTGTACAGGAAAGACATACAGAACCAAGCCTCTTGAATGTTACTAGTTCTCCTCTGATCCATGGGGCACAGACCTCCAGCACAATCATATCCAGTTTGCTGAGCATTGTCCAGTGGAGACTGCTGAATTTCATTTCAGATCTCTTCAGCGTTAGTGAGAAAAACAACTCTTGTTTTTCCAGGCACATCCATAATGAAACTAAAAGAAAGAAAGAGATAAAGAAAGCATTTGTAAAACCTTCAAAGCTTCTGCTAGCTTATCCTACTGAGTTTAGAACTTTATCCAAAGGCACTTAGATAAATTAATTGCACCTTGTCCAACAATCACAGCTTCACAGAATGATGTCATCAAATTACAATGAGCCTTAGGTAGAGTGAAACTAGGGATAGATCAAAGCTTATTTAAAGGCAGTATGAAGGAAAATACAGAATGGTTAGATAAAAACAGTGTGATTAATGAAGAACAAGATAATAAGAAGATTAATCTATAAAAGAAGCACCATGGTGGAACAGTCGTTAGCATTGCTGCCTTGTAGCACTGGGGCCCCGAGGGTCAATTCGAGATGTGGAGTGCTATCTGTGTGGAGTTTGTATGTTTTCCCCATGTTTCTGTAGGGTGGCTCTGGGTGCTCAAGTTTCCTCTAAAAACATACTAGTAGGTTAACTGGCTTCTGGGAAAATTGATCCTTGTGTGAGTGTGTGCGTGTTTGTGTCTTTGTGCCCTGTGATGTGTCCTGTCCAGTGTATCCTCTGTTGCGCCCGTTGCTTGCCAGAATAGGCTCTGGCTGCCCCAAGTCCCTAAAATAGATGGAGTGTTACAAAATGGATGGATGGATAATCAAATAAGCAATTCATCACTATCAAGACTTCTGAGTCAGCAGCACAAACTCAAACTCATTGAAAGATGTTTCCAGCACAGTGATGTGCTGTGGGTTTCAGGGAGGAAAGGAACCCGGGGTGAAGCAGGACAGTTATTATTAATTCCTGAAGAAGGCTCCACGGCCGAAACGTTGTGTTCTCTTTCTTCTTTTTTTCAGCATGGAATAAACCTATTACTTGTTCCTTTGCAGCCTACGCATGCTGACGCAGCCACCCACCTGAACTAATATTAATTCATACTGCTGAGACTTTTATCCAAAGCTAATTACATTTACACACATTTATATACCTAAGAATTTTACTGAAGCAATCTGATTCAAGTACTGTGGTTAAACTTACAACACTAGAGCCCCACACAGGCCTTGAACCCGCAGTCTTCAATTTCCAAAGACCTCACCACTATCATGACTTCATGTGAAGAAGGCGAGAGGCCTAAGAGGGAGACAAAAAGGAGTGGTGGAAGAGGGGTTAAAAGCTAGTTTAGTTATCCACAAGAGATACAGGAAAGCCTTTTTAGGGGATACTGCTCTGGCTGTCTGCTAGGTCTTCTGTGATGTTCACAGATGGATTGCACTGCAGAGTCACCTAAGCAAAGGCTCTGCAGCTTCTGAGCTCAGCCCTGTATGCAAGCTCAAAATAAATATGGCTTATCATGCATATATGTAAGAAATTTGAATATGGGCTCTGAAAAAGGCAGTTCTAAAAATATACTGTACTCACTCTGACTGTAACTTTTGTTTTTGCTATTTATACATCCACAAGACCTATATTGCATGACTTCCTCCTGAAAAAATGTTTGCAATTTCTTCCCTCACACAGATCACGTATTGCTTCCTGCATGGAAATAGGTACCGTAAACCACAGCCGGACACAGCGAGTGGCTCACACACCTGTTTCTGGAAAGCTAGAGACAGGTGACGTGGCATGGATAAAATTTGTTCAGCCCAAATTAACGTGAACATTTTTAAAGACAGCTTTCTGCTGCCTGTTCTAAACTCCACCATATATGGTTGTTGGAGTATGTGAGGCCTCTGGCATTCCTCTCAACAGGAATTCTTCTCTGACACTCCAGCCTCACACTCCTTGCAGAACAAAACCCTCCTTTGCCAAAGCAGAGCCCCTGTGGGCCAGGTCCGTCCGGAGCTCTATTTTTAAAGATCAGGTCGTGTTTATTCTGCATATTCTTGGGAGTTTCTTTACCTTGTGGGGTCCCTGTTTCAAAAAAGCAATATTTTGAAGGTATGGTTCTCCAGAAAACTCTGAAACATAACCAGAAAGCTTGAGAATAGGAACATCTGTTATTTGTGAAATTCTGTATATTTATTAATAAAGAAAAATAAAATCTCACATCTTGATTCTTTTACTTTTTAACATACTATCTTTAATATTTCTGACCAGTCAGTTGAGCAGAGTTCATTGTTGCAGTGGAGCTATGTAAACCCACAAAATATACATTTTAAAGGCGTTATTTTACTTTAAAAACGTCCCCTGATACTGCAAGACTAGTCAAAATCATCGTAACGGGTTAGTTGTAGAGAAAGCAGCACCTTGGTTAACCTTGTACGTTAGCGCCACCTTGTGGTAGATTGGAGTTCCCAGTTGTATTTTCATTCATCCTTGACAACAATTTGAAGCTTATACACGTGTAAAACAGCAGTAATGTTTAGGAGAGAGGTATTTTACAAAGCTATTGCTCTGGCACAATAAAACCACGTGTGACACAAGAGGTTTAGCTTTGATTTCAAAGTAGAACGTTCCAGAATCTCGAGACTTCGTGCAAAACATGAAGTTATTTTGCATCACTTTCAGAATTACTCAACAACTTGAGAGTTTTGTGTAAAAAGGTCGCAAAGCAGGTCAAGAAAGGGCTCTAGCAATCACTGCATGGCTTCTGGATTACGTTTTAGTGGTTCTGCTGGGAAATGTGTGTGAACAGTGAATTAGTGATGTGATGTGGTAAAAGTGGAAGATCAGTCTATCTGCATTGTGTTACATTTGTGTCAGTAAAAGGTTAAGTGTGCGGCCAATCATTCTAATCAAATCACATAGAATCCCGGCATGATTTAAAATTTCGTACACAGCCTATCCCTTATACAATAAAGTTACAGTTATACCCCTTGTAACTCAGGTGTGTCTGACTCAGGCCCTGGAGGGTCTAGAGTCTTACATAAATCCTATGACATCAGTCATTTCAGGAAGAACAAGCATCCAGGTGAAAAAGCAGGTGCAGGTATTCATTTGCAAATCATATAAAATTGCCTTGCAGAAGCAAAATATTTGAAAAATGACTGATTCATATAAAGTCACTTGGGGACCCTGATATATTTGGGATATAATATATGAGTGTATGGAAATTTTAGAAGATGACACTGCTGCCTTGCAGCTCCTGGGTTCCTGTCCTTCTGTGTGGGGTCTGCATGTTATTCCAGTGTGCCACAAGTGTTTTCTCTTGATACTTCAGTTTCCTCCTACAGTCCAAAGACCAGGTGTCTTGATTAAGTAGCTTCTTTGAAATATTCCCAGTATGTGTGAACGAACATGTGTGTGCGCCTTGCGATGGACTGGCATCACGTCCAGAGTGAATCCTGTGCCCATTGCCTGCTGCACTGGGCTCCGGGTCACCACCAGGCTTTATAAGACCTAGTGGTTAATGAGAACAGGTTGAAGCCTTTGGTTGACTGATTTATGTAATAAAATTACATAAACTTTTACAGAGTTTCCTGTAAAGGATTAAGCTCTATACTTTTCATTTTGCTGTCTTTCATTAAAGGTCATTAGAAACTGGTAATGTGCATAAGCTACATGATAAAAATTAACATTTTTTTAACCAAATGCTTATTTACATTGATGACCTGGGCGAAGTTCCTTAAACTTGAGGGCACAACAGAGAGGCCCAAGACAGTTCATCCCTGACCAATGGCTCTGTGGCTGTCCAGCCAAATCAAAGCTTTTCTCTCTGGGGACTTTGACATGTGTCCCATATTCAAAGCCTAGATTATTGTTTTGTTGATTCGCTGTTCTTAAGACCGGTCTTCTGTGGAATATGTACTCAGTTTTCAGGTGAAGGCAACTGGCTGTTTCTAGCCATTGGGAAATCTTAAACTAAATAAGGAAAAGGGTTACAAAATTGGGAAGTTCAGGAACTCCAGCGACTTAGCGGGCTGGATGACATCTAACGACTGCGACCGTTATAGTAACTGCCATGAGGCACAGATGGCTCCTAGGTTTCAGTGCAATTTGTTTGACTTGACCTTTAGTTATGATGCACATTATTAATTAACTTATTGATTTTTTTTCTTATCGAGAGCACGTATGGCGTGCTCTCCCATCGCTGTTTGCGTGTGCGTATTTCTCTTTTTGCCAAATTTTACCGGCAAGCGAACGTGCAGCGTCATGCCCTCCTCAAATAAAAAACCGCCTGCACAGGCGTCGGGTAAAAAACACCACTGGACAAACTAGGAAGTTGAGAGTGACTATGCAGCATTCAACTCCTCTAACTCGCTCCCTGCTCCAAAAAAAATTCGTCCGCTTGATTGACAGGCGAGAACTCAAATGGGAGAGCGATGTGCCCCCTAAGGGGGCGGGCACGGGGCAGCGTTCCACTCCAGTCGGGCTGCGGGAACATTGTTGTGGAGTGACGTCACTGCTAGAAGATGAAGGCGCAGTGGCAGCCATTACTGGAGGAGCAGTAATTATCAAATCCCAAATAAATACTGGCGGAAAACTTCCATGGCAAGAACCACTAGTCAAATTGTGAGTATGGCGATTTTCCCCCGGTGATCGAGACGAAGCCGCTATCCAAGCCGAGGGAGAAAAATGCGGTTGTTAGAGGAAATGTCCGATAGGCCCCTCTCCTTTTCCAGCGGTGCCCGAAAAGGACTTATAATAAACCAGTAGAAGGACTTGGCGAATTTAACTTGCGCACCGGGGGTTGCGGAGATCTAGATATGTAAGTTTATTTGGAGATGACAGAGCAGACTCAGGTTGCACTGTGCGGGGGCATTCTGCACCTTTGAAAGCCTGGCGATAGTGTAGCAAGCGTGGTCTAGTGATAAGTTGAGGAAATGGGTTTGTGTTCAAGCTACCTGTCTCTCTACACCCCTGTCCTGCATACTGTTGAGCAGCACGGTGTTCGGGCTCGGTGGGTGGGTGTCTCCAGTCCCACTTAGACTTGAAGAGAAGTACTTGCCGAAACATCCACGTCCGGTTTATCTGTGCTGAGTGGGCAGAGGTAGAGGACTAACAGGGGGTTAAAATAACCGAAGCACGCCGGTGGGGTGAAAAGACAAAAAAAAAAACAGAAGTTACTGAAATCGGCCTCAAGGCTAATAGTTATTGAGCGAGCCGTGGAAGAAAGAGGTTAGAGCAATTTCATAACCCCTTTAAGGTCCTGTGTTTTAATCCCTATTAAGAGGACTGTTATGTAACACACACCGTAAAGGCATCAGAGAGGTAAGAGTTAGAATATGAAAGTAGTTTTTTTTATGGTTTAGGGCTGTGCCCCAAGTTTGCATAAAAGAAGGCGGAGGCACTGGTGAGTGGGTTTGTTTGTGTGTCATGTTCTAGGTTTAATTTCTTTGTAAGAACAGCCCGAAGGGAAAACAAAAAAAACTCTTCCTCCTTAGTTTTGTGGAACCCCTACAAGCTGGGAAGGTCTCTGGGTTCAGTGCGCAAACGAGGTGAAGTGTGTGGGTGCCCGGGGCCGCTTGTCATCAGTTAAGACTTCGCTGGGACGCCAGGAGAGTTGCCTGAGTCACTCTGAAGTGTGCAGTCTGGGGCTCGGTGAAGCAGGTGGCTCTCTATCTTTGGGTTTTTCATTTGCTTTTAGAATTGGTTTACATTTCGTTCAATGCACGGATAAGATAAGATAAGGGTCACGTTTCGGAATTTCTCCAGTTGCAGTCCGGCTTTCGTTTCCTTTCTGCAGAAGGTGGATTGCTGTCCTATGAAAAAGTAACGTGTCAGTCGCTTATGACTTTTTTCTGGAAGAAAAAACTTATAAAGCTTCTAACTGTTCAAAAAAACATTATGAAAATGCGTTCCGAGTTTGCCTGCTGTTATTTGCTGTTATTTTGCATCAAGTGTATCTATAGGACTACTGGCATTCTAAAATAAAATATTGAACAATAAAAGACTCTGTGGAAAAAAACATGGAGCGTTGCATTTCATTAGTAATCATTTCAGGGAAAACGGTTTTAATACTTGGAAGGGTATAAGCACACAGGATCTGTAACTTCCTTGTTTGAATGCAGCAAACAACACCAGCATCAGAAATGTTGCACTACAAGAAGACGCAAACACACAACTCCAAAGGCAAAGTGAGTTATACAATGCTGAGGGCTTTTCTTATTAAAACATAAAGCCTAATTTTGGATGGCTCTCTCAGGTGTTCCTTTACTTCAGGGAGTTACCATTTGTATGGTGACGGGTATCATTTGAGTATTGTTAGTTTGCAGAAGTGAAATATGTTTTTTGTCATTTTGTCTAAATCTGATTGAAGAATTAAGTCTTGGTAAGTGAATTTTGGTCATATTGCACCCTTTACCCATGGGATGAGGATTGGGAAATCCAGGCGGCAAAGAAGCAGACTTTTCTGCTACAGTAACCTCCAAATGCCTTGTAACCTGAAAAAGAAAAGCAACTCGCAGTCCGTGTAACAATTTTCCAAACCTTTGCACATCCAGTTTTGCCAGCGTAAAAGCAAGTAGGTAATGTAATCGATATTTCAGAGCGTGCTCGGGTTCTAAAATGGGCAGGTTAAGTGTGAGAGCTGATGGAGGTCCAAATGGGATCGAGTTGAGGGAAGGTATCACCGTCGAGCGCTGGGGTTCACAGCTGGTGTGGCTTGGGTGTTTAACTGTCTAATGGCTAGGTGTTGCAATATTTAACCTATGGAGGGCTGGTGTGAAGTCAGCTGTGGAGAGCTAGCTAACTGCGTCTACAGGAGAGCTGCGTCTACAGTGTGCAGCCTCGAGCATGTTCCAGCTAACAGACGTGATCGCATTTGTGCTCAGAGTTCTTTGTGAAGTGGTTTTGTCTGACTTGAAAAAAAGAATCTTACCAAATTTGTTTTTTCAGCTATGGCAGGAGGTCTGTACATATTTGCTCCTGTATTGTAGAAGATTTTAAATGGCATGGGAACGGTCTTTGGTTATCCATGAACATAGTTGCTAATTCTGATTCTCTACATTATGGCCTTAAGAGGGCATAAGCAATACAGTGAGGAAAAGTTGTTTCTTAAAGCTAATGTCATCACTTTTATTGTAATGAAACACATTAGAAGCAGTGGTACGACAAAAAGGAAGAAAATACTGCACAATGACCTTATTTCTTTTAAGGAATGTTTCCTGTTAATTAAGATCATGAATTTGTTCCTTGGTTATTTTTACCAAAGTGTCACTGGAATAAGCAAATGTCTGTTTTGGTATCAACAAGTTTCCTTGTTTAAGCTTGGTTTGTGTTAAAGGAAATGAGAATGAAACAGGCTCTAAGTTTTAGACTTTAGAATGGAAACGCCTGCAGGGAGCATTTCATCACATTTGAAACAAGCAGCATGTCTGGGTTGTTTTCAGATGCGGAGATTTATTTCTTTGTATATACATTAAAAACTTTAACTGATGAAATGGCAGAGGATAGTAATCAATCACTGAAAGAGTGCTTAGAAACTGCTTGCTCTGAATGCAACTTTACATAGTAAATGTTAAATTATATAGGTCAAAGACCTATTTAAATGTCATTAGAAGACCATCGTTGTTTTTATGATAAAGGAAGAGTCATTAGTATATCATGAGTATTTTTCTTACAGTAAATATAAGGAGTACTGCAGTAAAACTGTCTTGTAATGGAAAATAAACTCTTGTAAGGAGTTTGGGTGTCTTGCTAAGGTATTTTTAATGGAATTAAAGAAGTAAAAAAGGTGATCAACATATTCAGATTTCAGTTTTCCTTTCAAAAGTTCCAGTCAGTTGTTTGACATTTCTGAGACTGAGTGCTCTAGTAGAGAATGTGTACCACACTGTACTACAGTTGCAAATTTTGAACCCATGCCACTGACCCTTTTGACATCTGAAAAGAGAATTCTGCAAAACAATATAACATGTGCTTGCTGCAGCCAAGTTAGCATCAGGTGATCAGAGCAGTGCGCAAAGACTTTCAAAGGATGTATTTTGTAGTACATGTGCAAAATAACCTTGGGCGTCTTGTTACTCCGCAGAACACCACAACAAGGAGCTACAGACTACAAATGGGGAAACAGTGTCAATACACTTTTTTCAAGAGCCATATCCAATATTTGACTTTCCGTCTTGCATAGTTTTTTTTTTGTGTTGGAGGATTGATCTTATGTCAGGCCTTGGCCGTGCTGATTTGTTGTTCCCATGTGAGTTGTCCCATGGGCTTGCCAATATAAACAAGGCAGTGAGGCTTAAGGAGAATCCAGAACCCTCGGTGAAAAGGACTTCACAAGTAGAAAAGTGAGGTCAATGCGTGTCACTTTACTTAGTTTCTGCTTATGACTTCTGTGAGAAAATTTAGACTAATCTAGTGAGTTTATGCTTTAACTAGAATTCTGGGGATAAAATTAGACATTTATAAATCAGCATGGTGACTAATTGTTGAAAATGCCAAGCCCTTTACTCGGTTACGTCAAGTTGATATAATCCTCCCTTGAATGGGAGCATAGCCCAGCCCAGAGGTGGATGTGTTGTAAAGAGCAAGGCTATAGCTGGTGTTCTGCTTAAGAGTTACATATTCTTCTATCCACCTGGCCCTTTTGAAAATACCACTTCAGGAATTGGGGTAGCGTAACGTGTAGAACGAAAGTGGATGATACACACATGTGTTCATTTTATTTTGTGGCGTTTTATTTTTTTTTAATGGGGAAAACTTGCTGACTCAAAGCATGTGCTGTTTAAAAGAGAAGCACATGCCGGGGGTGGCACTGGAGGATCTGGGCTGTCTGACCAACCTTGCAGGGGCCTCTGACTCATCCAGCAGCAGTCGTGATTCACTGCAGAAGAGCACTGTGATCCAGAAAGCACCAGCCCAAGCAGATGCACCCCCCACCCCCCCCCACCCCACCCTAGAGCTCGCTATCATCTCGGTGTGCTGGAGTGCTAGGCCTGAGCCTGAAGAGTGTTTCTCGGAGACATCCAGCCCCTCAGTTCAGACCCAGTAAAGATGCTGGGGCTGTGCTAGGGAGTGCAGAGCTGAATCAGCCACATTCTGAAGAGATATAGTCTGTGTTGCTTCGATCTGGGAGATTTTAGAAAACGTTTACACATATGTTGTTTGTTCATTAACACTCAGAAGTGTCCATCTGGCTTTCTGTGGAAAGGTTTAAGTCAGGAGTGTTCCGAGCAGGAAACCCTTCCCTGCTGCCGTCAGGTCTGGCTCAGTGAGCACATGAGATTGAGTGGCCTCCTTATTTTGAGTAGCTGTGTGCCAGGTTGATGGAGTTCAGTAAATCTAATTATTTTAGTGAATTGCTAGCAGCATTTTGCTGCAATCAAAACTCCAAGTGTATTACTGTTTATTCTTATGACCATTTCACAGCTTTGATTAATCAACGCTGCCAGGTTATTGGGAAAAGTATATTTCAGTCTTAACAATGCTAGGCAGTGCCGCAGCTTCAGACAGTCTGACTCAAGTGAAAGTAGACTCTTAATGCAGCAAAATGCTCGCAGCCCCAAGTCTGTCAGCTGCTTGAGAAGTCAGAGGCCTAAGCTGACCTGCGAGAGTTCACAGAGTGCTTT